AGTTTGATTACTCTATGATATTGGTAAAGTTTGATTACTCTATGATATTGGTAAAGTTTGATTACTCTAAGATATTGGTCGCAGGCACGGAACTTAGGTGCAACTTGATGAAAGAAAAATGTTATAAGTGTATACTGTTTTGATTTGTAAACTTTTACAAAATATATAAGTGCTATCAAAATCTCAAAAAACAACTACCAAGTAAATTATTACCTTTAAGTTTAAATACAATTCAAATAGCAAAATATTTTACATCTTCATAACTATACAAGCCTTCGTTTCTCTATCTAAAACTTCCTCCTTATGTATATACAAGTCTGAACTGCCAAGTATTGAAAATTCATAACTGAAAAAAATAAACAAGAAGATAATCTATATCCAGTAACTGTAATATTCAGTACAAGCTTCAACCATTTGTTTTGCCGTAACGTCAAACTTCAAGAACAAATTGCCTCGATTTTCCTTCTACATCATGGTTCATGTTTCTTGTTATCGAAACACATTTTATTTTGCACTAAGTCTGCCAATAATGTTTTAAATCAAGTTAATATCATTCTAATAAATGCCTATAATTTAGTGTCATCAGCTTTGGTGTTAACTTAATATATATCCCGTTTTTCTTTCACAAGTTTCAAGTTTTTTCCATAACATTATTCTTTTCAACATGTTTTTTTCTTTTATGTACATCAACTTTGTTCTAATTTAAAATCCTGTACTCTTCACTATTTACTGCTTTTTTGAATCACAGGAAACGTTTTTCAAAATTCATCAAATAAATATGCAAGTTAAAATAAATTTGACCTTACATGATAATCTCAAGATAAAGGTAAGAATATTACACTGTACAAGTGATAATCTCAAGATAAGGGTAAGCACATTACACTGTACAAGTGATAATCTCAAGATAAGGGTAAGCACATTACACTGTACAAGCGATAACCTCAAGATAAAGGTAAGCACATTACACTGTATAAGTGACAATCTCAAGATAAGGGTAAGCACATTACACTGTACAAGTGATAACCTCAAGATAAAGGTAAGCACATTACACTGTAAAAGTAATAACCTCAAGATAAAGGTAAGAACATTACACTGTACAAGTGATAACCTCAAGATAAAGGTAAGCACATTACACTGTACAAGTGATAATCTCGAGATAAAGGTAAGCACATTAAACTGTGCAAGGGTAAAACAAGAGGGAATCTTCAATAGCCACAGCTGTAATTAGATCTCAAATCAGTCAAGAGATGGAGCTATGAACCAAAAGTTTGTACTGAAAGCCATACTTCGCATACTTACATCCGAAAAAAAATATAAAAAAATAACACAAAACTCTAACCTGAACACAGAAATAATATAATAGAAGTTCAAAGAAAGGCTCATCATTGAAATCTAGCCTAAAAAATATTAATACAAACATAAACTATTATTTGTGTAAGAAGTTGATTTATAAAAATTCTTGTACTTTCACTACAAAAGCCAAGAACTCAGCAAGCTATGAGGCTAAAGTTTCCAAATTTTTATAAAAAGCAAATGTTTTGTTTCAAAACAATTAACACATCAATTCTGTTGGTTACTGTCTGATGAATGAGAAGTCACACCTAACAATTAACACATCAGTTCTGTTGGTTACTGTATGATGAATGAGAAGTCACACCTAACAATTAACACATCGGTTCTGTTGGTTACTGCCAGATTACAGAGAAACTTTAATATAAGTTTAACATAACAGCAAATGTAAAATGTTTCAACAAGGTTTTGTCATCATCAGGTACTTTGATGATTTTTATATTCAGGTTACGAAGTTTAAAGATAGTTTCATGGTATGATTGGTTTATGGTAGT